GTTTTATCTTGTAGACAGGATGAGGTGATGAACTCAGACCATATTTTCCAACCAGACCTCTCAGAGGATCAGTTTGTGTTGTGATTTAGCCTCAGACAGCCTCTCTCAGCTGGAGCGCCAGTCACCCCAGCATGGGGTCAGGTCAGGTCCATGGCCGGGTGCCAAGCGCTCGTATCTGTTCCAAAGCCTGACTGACCCTATAGTGGCAGTGAATATCAACGACTGCTGTGATCCTTCAGAGCTTGGCTAGTATTGGTTTTCCATAAGTGGCCTTGAATCATGCCCACCTTGACCTGAGATCACCTACAACTGCTTGGAGTACTGTCACTTTAATTAAAATCATCCAGCTTCCCATTATAAACCCACTGTGGGTTCTTCCCTCAGGTAGATGTTTGTCTGCTTGACTGGCAGAAGAAGCAGTTTCAAAGTTCAATATGAATATTTTTATCATCAAGATGGATGGAAGACAAAATAATCTTAATCATATGAATCTTAAAAAAAGCAAACTGTTTTGTAAAGGTTAGGTTTTTTTTTTCTTCTATAACCATCAATCCAAACTCTACTGTTAGGCTGTTCAAATATTATATTACGATCTATGGAAGCATGTTGCAATCACATAGAAAAAAAAGAAGCTGGTCTATTTTTTCTAATTAAAGAGATCATTTTTACAGAAAAAATAAATTATAAAAATGACACTGCTGTACATTTTATAGAGGGTCTTCTGTTACTGCTGGCATTGCATATTTCTAAACAAGAGACGCATTTCCTTCAGAGAAATTTCAACCTGTCCCATTTGTTGAGTTTAACTTTTTTATTACTCCCTTTTGAGATACTGGAATTTTTGTACATCACTTAGTTATGAAGATTCAATCACTATTACCGGTAGTTTGTTGATTTTGCAAAGATCTGCATGTTGGGCGCTGCTCATGATATGGTTGTTTCCCTACTTCCTCTTCTTTTTGCAGTTTATCTCAATTCAGAAAAACAGGGTATTTTTATTTACGTTTTATAAAAATCCTCCAAAAAAACTAACATATTTCAATTTTTTCAGGTGAAGATTCTAATGATTTAATTGCATGGTCTAATGCTGCTTCTATTGTGGCCAAGAAGAAAAAAAATACTCGCTTTTAAAATGCCAACCTGGACAGCTGGAGAGTAAAATCTGTTGTTGAGGGAAGGAAAAACTTGCTTGGCCAGAAATCTGAAAACTGATTTAATGGATTTCTTGAATTAAGAAGTTGTTTAGGTCTTCTAATACTTAATTTTAGCCAAACTATTATAGGGTAAAATATCTGAAAAAAAAAAAGATGAAAATATGAAAAAAAATAAACAAATTGGGATAAAAAAGCAAGAACATGTGACCATAATGGAGTTTTTTTTGTTTTTTACTTTCTTGAAGATTTTTTTTCCTACATCGAACAGCGCTAGTGACTCTAAAGATCAAGGAACTGAGATTAAATCTTCAAGTTTATTTCTGTTCAAACAACTGAAGAGAAGTAAACTTCCTTAGAAAGATTTCCAATGTTCCGTTAACAGGAGGCCAACAAAGGCAGTGTTTTGGATATATTTTCTAGTCCCTGTTTCACTTTAAGAATTAAAAAAAAAAAAGTTAACAACAAACCACAAGACTTTGTTTATAAAGTTTGAAGATGTTTCACTTCCCATCCCAAAAGCTTTCTCAATTCGAAATGTCTGGAGTAGTATGAGGCTCCAGGCTTTATGGAGTAGCCCAGCAAAGCCTTGTTATGGTTTAGAAAACATGCAAATTGAACCTAAAAATAGGACTTCCCCTTTGTAATGAGGAGTTGTAGGCAGAGGACAGAGGTATGGGCCAGTTTCAGGTTAATTTGCAGGCCACCAACTACCTTAACAACTCCCCATTACAAAGGGTTGGATCTATTTTTGGTTCAATTTGCATGTTTTCTAAGCCATAACAAGGCTTTTGTTGGGCTATTCTATAATGCCTGGAGTTCCATGCTACTCCAGACATTTTAAATTGAGAAATCTTTCCGGATGGGAAAAGCGAAACGTCTTCAAACTTGGAAAAACAAAGACCAGTGGTTTCTTTTGAATTTTTATTTTATTTTTTTTTAATTATTATGTCCTAGATCACTGAGAATCTTCACCGTTCTTCACTTTAAGAAAACAATTTTTATGGATGATTACAAACCTGTCAATATTCATCTCATTTTACCTGATATCCTACGCCTCCTACTCCATAAACCTTCAGCGTACATCTAATCATGTATAAAGGTCACATGTGTAGATCCAGCTGTTTATAGGGCATTGAATAATTGTTAGAGAACATAAGGGGATAAAAAAGTATCATACATTATCATACAATACAAGCCATTTAAAATGGCCCTTCCCAGTCAAACGGCAGCCAAATGGCAGCCCACTTCCCTGCGACTCCAAGCAAAGTCCCCTCCGGCCACTGGCCTTCTTCTTGGAATGCATTTTTTTAACTCTGACTCCACCTTTTCACAGAACTACAGGGTCTAACCAGGAGATGATGCTTATCTTTAGATCTTAATATTAAATCATGACAGAAAGAATATTTTAGTACAAAGATTGATATTTAAAAAACGAATTGTAGGGAAGCAGCCAAGGACCCATCAACGAAAGTGGGGAAATGTTGAATGAATACTACTGTAGGAACACAGCAAGCATGTTCAGGGGGGGGACTGTATTTCAGAATTAGTGCAATTATCTGGCAGTGCAGTAAGACTTCTTGTTTTGATATATATCATAATTTCAAGAAGTCTTACCAAGTGCAATGGGCGTTTTGCAAATATTTTGAGAAAAATCGTCTGAAAAAGAGCTTATTAATCAAACAGCATCTGCTCTTGCTTAGTATATGAATTTCAAAACAAAATCAAAAAGACTTCACGGTTGGATCTAAGACTTGATTAGATGGACAGTTTTTGCTGTGCACATTCTTGAGTGATTGTTGGAATTGAATATGTTCTAAGGGTTTAGCTGGTTCTACTAAATGTTTTTTTTAGGATGTAGTTCAAAGATTCCTTAAAAAAGCTATTTGATGCACCTAAAATAAGAAGTTTCTATTATTGAGTCCCAACAATGAAAGGAAAAAAACTGCTTAAAAAGGCTTGGAGGAGGCAACAAAAGTTTAGAGGGCAAAAGGGTGCAGACAGAGCCCTACGCTGAATACTGAAGCCCTGGCAGCCTCACAGAAGTGACTGAGGCCTCGTCTGGCTGCTCGGGATGAACCCAACGTGATGACAGGCAGATCTTCTTATGCTGCTGATGAAAGCTGGTCTCCTCCTCTCCCCATCAGAGATGGATCAGAGGTTCATGCCTAAGCAAAGTCCTTAGCACATGCAGGGTCTCGCTCGGGATGGAGCCACGCGTGACATCACATGCATCACGCAGAAATAAAGGGGGTATAAGTAATTTAGCACATTGTGACACTTTCACGGTCTAATTAGCCCCATCGTTGCAGTAAACACGCCCCAATGGCCCTGCAGTTCTGGGTGCTCATTAAGTATGGATGGAGCTGAGGATGGCCAGCCTCTCTCATCCGTCATGATCTGACTCGTCATGGTGGTGGTGTGGGAGGGGGGCTCAGCAGAACTGTCCAGAACCAAACAGAATCTGAATGAAAAACAAGCCCCTTTGTGTGCAGAGTTATAGCAGAATGCAAAGCTGCTTTAGGCCTGCAAAGACTGAGGGGAGGCAGGTGCTCTGCTCCTCTCTGCTTCTGCCTTTGACGCGGTGATGGGGATTTTCCTCTCTCTCTGTTGCAGCAGCAAACGTGGCCAGCGAGCTGTGATCAAACCACGCTTTCATCCCTCCTCTCTTCCTTTTCTTCCCTCATCAGCTGGAAGGCTTCAGCAGCAGGATGCCCCAGATTAACAACCACCTCTCCACCTCCCATCCTGTGCAGAGGCTGCTCACTGTGAGGCTCTACTACCACCTTCTGGCCAAGACTGAGGAACAACCAGAACTCAGAGCTTCAAACCAGTGGAAGCATGTCCACATAAATTAAAGCATACAGAAGTGGAGCTTGATTAATCTCGGCTAATTGCCACAGACTTATGAATTTCCAGCAAGTGACACGTGAGCCCTGATCAATGGCAGAATGTGGTGCTAATTTAGTGAGTGGCCTTCTGGCAGAAAATAGTGAATGAGGTTGAACAGCACAGCAGAGCAAAGGAGCCATTATCTAACAGGACAGGCTCAGCATTTTTCTTCCAAATAACCTCCCCTTCTATCACAGTGCAGTGTAGCCAGGGTTCAACCCACCCCAGGGGTGACCTGAGACTGTCTCTTTCTGAGCTACAGTATTACATAAGACTGTATCTCAGCTTTTAATGAAGTTAGACATTTATAGCCCCTTTACCTTTAAACTTTAACAGATTAGAACGAACTAAACGGTGTTTACTGGGATTTAAGGTAATATAGCTACATATAAAGGAGAATGATTGGGTAAAGGAAAAAAATTTCTTTACAAACTGAAATCTGAGGAATGTGGAGTTTGTCTGAATGCAGCTCACTATGAAAAAGAAGCTGCGAAACAAAATGAATGGCAAATGTATGAGTTGTGCGCTTAAGAAATCTACAAGTTGCATCTTGGAATAGTAGAAACCAATGATTGTTTTCGATAATTGTAAAGACATTTGGAGTGCATGACCTTTGACCAGTGCAATATAAATCAGTTATTACATCTGGACTCAGTTATAAGAACAAAGTTCTTTTTTTCCCATTTCACCTTTATTTATACAGGTTGTCTCACTGAGATCCAAGTTTTCATTTAAGAGACCTGTTTTGATGAAAACAAAAATAAAAGATGCACCTTTAAAGTGATTTTAAACTGATAAAAACACAGGCCACCGATAAACACACCTGCCTCATGCTGTCGACAACAAAGCATGTCATAGAGAGTCCCTGACGCTGCCTCGGTTTAATCAGGTTTAATGGACACATCAACTCACTGATTGGTTTAAGCTTAGAAGGCTTTAGAAAGTTCGACCAAGCATGGGTAAGATTTCAGGTTTTTATTTTTTGATTGTTTCATGTACAATAAACATAATGCATCAAGTAAAAAAAGCAAAAAAAGATTTAAGATGACAAGTTATTTCTCAAAAAAAGCCCCGCAAGGCTTCCCTTATTGGTACCTCTGAACACAATACTGCTGACTGCTAATACTTGATTTGGACAAAGTTAAAAGTCAGATAAAGCTCTAGAAAGAACACAAACTTGCTGAAATGTAACACATACACAAACAGAATTGTTCTATATTTGTTCAAACATAAAAATAAAAAGATTCTCACTTAAAACAAAGGGCACAACGACAAACATGAGTAGAAGGATGGCACAGCGCATTACACATCAGAGGGTGGCCAAAATACCTCTTTTTAACTCCATGTCTTAGATCCTGAAGGAGGAGGTACCTTTAGCTGTTTGGCAACATTAGAAATCACAGAAAACAATGTTTTTATATACAGATTAGCCCCCCCACCTCAGCTTCTGCTTGGAGTGGGGGGGGCCTCTGTGTAGTGCTTAGAAATCAAAGTTACAAAAAAACATCAAGAGATCATGTAGCACAAGTTGATTTGCACATTATGATGTGATATGTTGCTAAGGGAGGCGTTCCCAAAATGGGACTGGAACAGAAAATTCAAGTTCAGAGGGTTTCAAGTCCAAACGCTCGCTGACCCGCTTCAGTTCTCCTGCTGCCAGTGAATGCAGCGTTGGGTAAGGCTTCGCTGCGTTGATAGGTCAACCCTTTCTACCCGCCTCCTCCCTCTGCGGCCTTCAGCGGAGGCGGCGTCCTGCCTCGGAAAAGGAAAGGCACTCGACTGAGCTGTTCGCCTCACGGTTAGCTCGTCTCCCCCTGCTTTTTTCTCATTAGCAGCACTTTGCGTCGCTCTCCGCTCCAGAGAAGACGACGCTTTGTGGCGGTGGAGCTTTATTTCTCACATTACAGGAACGATACTCTCATGCAGAAAGCATCAGTAGATATCTGTTAGCATTTAGACTGAAGAGTTGCAACACAGAACAAGACAGTGGAGATGAGTATGAAAGGGGTGGTGGTGGGGGGGTGATAGTGTTTTTCTAGTCTCCTCTACGAGTGTTTGATGGTGTATTTGCCTTTCTGCAGCTGGGAGATGTACAGCTTGGACTTGGTGCCATCCGCTCGCTTGAACCACACCTCATCGTTGTTTATCGTGGTGATGATGGCACTGCGGGATGAAAACATGCGTTACAACATGACAGAGCCACAGATATGAGGAGACCATGTTTGGGAGAAAAGATTTAGAGTTCCCAGAGTAGGAATGATTCTTATAATAAGGCTGGTCTTACATGCTGGCATAAATTCATACTTTTAATTTCTGCAGTGCAGTCTAGGTCTTCCAGCAGCCACATAGGACCATATATGGACGGAAAGATAAGAGTGATCTCTGCAATCTAAATGGACACGGTGTGTTTATCTAAGGAGGAATGTCGATGAGGAAATGAAGAGCTTTCAGAACGACCACCAGAGATGTGTTTTGTTTCTGTTTATCCAAGACCTCTGAAATTCTCTCTCTCATATTAATTTCCTTTGGCTGCAGTGCACGGATGTCCTGCATTAATCTCAAATGTGCCGAATGCTTATTTCATCATAGGTTAGGCAGAGAGTAACATCTTGCTCATCTATGGTTTTAGATTTGTCAGCCGTTATAAAATGTTCTACAGAGACATATTAAGCTTCAGTTACTGGCTCTATGAAACCAAAAGCCCACGTTGTTTCAGTTTGATGTTACAGTTTGTGCTGCTAACTGTGGCTGTTGTTCGTCCAGCCCAGCTCCTCTAAAACACGTGGATCTTCTGCTGCTTCCTCTTAAACCCCGGCGTACGCTGTGCCATTTTCGGGGCGATTTTTTTAGTCATGCGAGAATCTTTGGATCGGGCCGACTTTCAGCCTGATCGTGCGTCAGGTAGTGTACAGGGGGTAACGAGCGGCGATCAGCCTCTCATGACCGCTTCACAATCAGCAATCGTGAGAATACCAAACATGTTTGATTTTCTCCCGACCGTCTTGGGCAAATCGCTCAGGGCGCAAAGAAGGATTCTTCTTTTTATTCTTCCTCTCAGATGTAAACACAGCAGCATTGCAGGGATGCAATGAGTGAAATGCAGTTCTGTCTGTAAAATTGACAGACCGTAGTAGCCATGTTTGCTCAGCCACTTCTTTTTTAAATTCGCCTTTTCTTTTTAGGACTTCAGCACAAAATTGCACAAATTGCCAAGACTGCGCAGCTCATTATAGTGAGCTTAATATCCCCCTTCTATTTGTTTAGCTTCAGTATAGAGAGCTATAGAGCAGTTCCATCTCACTGTGGAGCTGAGTCCAAAATGGTTTTTAGTCGTACAGGTGGAGCAGGTAGATTGCATGAGAGCGTTGGGCCCAACATAAATGGTGAGCTATGAACTCACACTGTACGACTAAACCCTGCGGTTAGTCGTACAGTGTGAGCAGCAACTGCGTGCAACGTTAAAAAAAAAAAAAAGGGCTTAAGTTTTAACTACAGACCTCCACCTAATGTTTGGGAGGATATAAGGACGCATCAATATGACTTACTTACACATTAATATGACTAGTAGTGGGCAGTTATCGCCGTTAATGCCAGACTATTATTGCGCAATAAAAAAATATCACCTTTAAAGGAGAATTCCGGTTTTT